ACGTGTTACCCATTGGAATATGGTTACTGTAGTATTTTCATGGATATTCTAGCTTGTTCACATTCTTATTACACGTGTGGGGGCTTTGTTGTCACGTGCAATGGGGATTCTGGGGCTTTTGTGGCCCAATCCTTGGATACTGGTGCGCAGCATGACTACGTGGCGCGTGGGCTTGGAGACAGGACTCCACACAGCTCTATCTTCTAAACCGTGCACAATACTCCAATTCTGAGACTGGATTTGGAGTATATGAATTATGCATTATGCAGAGGAATCACAGTACCCGTGATATGGGGGTACCTGTTAATTATTCATGCATGTATTACAGGGTGAAGGAGTTATAATTTGGGGTACCTTTGGCTGAGGTACCCTAGGTTAAATTGTATGCTGATTCAGAATCTGCAATAATATTTAAGGTTTTGTTTATACTTTTTAAGTTATTCATTTATTTTTATGTATTTTTTATCTTATTTGCATAAGTAATATTGTTTCTTTTACTTATGTAATATTTTTACTTTATACTTAGATTTTTTATGTAATTTATTATTTTATTTGCTATGACAGGTTGTCTCTGCCATAGTAGCAAGCTGACAGACACCAAATAATCGATACGCCCACCAGCTGCCTCTACCGATCCCGATCCGTGACCGGAAAATAATCAGTCAGGCTGGGTCCGTGGGAATTGAACCTCTGACCCTCTCTGACCTACGCCTGATGTGCTCATTGAAGCAACGGTGATAAATTACTGCCTTAATGTGAAAGAAGTTGATAGGCAATATGAAGAATAAAAAAAATCCCTTCCTGCGTTGGTCCAACCACGCTCGAACGTTGGGGGAAGAGTAGAATCGCGGTCCGAAAGCGTCCACCCAACAGCAAAAGGCTCAGCTCTTTCGTATGACCGCAAGCGGATCTTTCTTCCAGCGTCTGCGCAACGGTGTAAGACCCACCGATGGTCCAGCCATCTCCCAACGGTGGACAGACCAAACTTCCAGGCTCATCGTCAGAGGATGGTTGGCCAATCGGTGGAGAGATTGCATGGTTGGAAAGAGCCTGGCTCCAACCATCCTCCGACGCTGCTGTTGGACCGTAGTCGGCAGGGTTGGGGCGACACTCACAATACCCCCTACTGTTGTCCAACCCACACCAATCAAAAAAAGTGACCCTGTGGTGTAGCATAATCTGATCCCAGCTTCCCGGGCATGACAAGGGGCCAGGTTTGATAGCGATGTCCTAACATATTCAAGCCACTACCACCAACCGTCGACAGCGTGTTGGATAGCTGATTGTTGTCCATAATCTTTCCGCAATCTTGTAGGCACAAGCAAGTCCTGTAGGATCAGTGGCCTTGGGCATGCGCATGAGGGAACTGGCCAGTCTGTGCAGCAGGAAGCTGCTGCCGTGGTACACGACATTAGATAAATGGACTGGAGTCCCAGAACTCCTGTCTGGTCCAGTCTTTCCCACTTATCCATCCGTTTCCGCTTCTCAACTTTACCCTCCCTGGCGGTGGGCACACCAGTTGCCATGGCATATGCGACCATGATCACCACCATTCTGGCAAGTGAGTATATTCCTTCCTTGATTGTCTTTATAAGACACCGAAGTTGCCATTCGCCTCTAGACCACGCACCCAAATTTACAGAAGAGTACGTGACGAAAGCAGCAACATTTTTCATTGACTGTCTGACCAAAAGAGACCCAAGTAAGTCTCTACTACACAAGCCTGTTTGCTTTTAACCACTTGCTTACCCCACTTCTGTTTTTTTTTTTCTGCTGCAAGAAATCATGCTTGTAGTTGTGGTTATTGTTCATGCCGCTATCTTGGCCCTTCTCGGTCAGTTTTTTTTTTTTTTCTTTAACCCTTCATACTTGTGTGTACAAAAGGTGCTGATTGAGTTATAAAAAAAGTCTATATGATCGTCCCTCGGGCTAAGTCTGAGTCAACCAAGTCCGGTAAGCTGTGGTAGATTGTACATAAATAGGTGTATCTGATTTGAAAATACACATCCTTACTCGTTCTTTTCTGTCTTGTATGTAGATCCTGCATCTAACTTAACGCAAGCCCCTCGATCGGATGGGCCTGTGCCAGGCTGGCGCGAAGCGCCCCTCCGAAGGAGGGACTTGTGAACAAAGTCGGCTTTCTTGTGTGGAAGCTGGCATCAGTTAGGTGGGGAAATTCTTGCTCGCAGACTTGTGTCATCTTCCAAGTGGAAATTTGACCCGCCTGTTTGACCATTTGAGAGGCCGGCTTCTTGTGATCATTTCCGTATAACTCTTGGGGCCATGGGCTCTCACCTGCCCCCATCAACAGCATTCCACAAAGGCCGTTTGGCCAGAAGTTTCATGATGGGCCCCAACTATGGTCATAGAGATTCCCGTTTCTCCCCAGAGATTACCACTGTATTTGGACCAAGTCCCCCAATTGACATCTCAGGCCGGATGACTTATACTCACTACAATTATGAAAAATTATATGGGCAGAATGGGAAGAAGCTCAGGTATCCGAAGAAGTTGACGGCATCAAAATCATCCAGATTTCTCCTGAGTTATAGGGGATTTTGTGTGCAAAGGCCAAAAAAAGCCACAAAAAGCCTGAGCTTCCAGGCCGATGTTTCAACTTCACTCCCAAGCCCCTCTTTCAGAGGCTCGCTTCGCGAGGTGCCCCCGGCCCTCTGGAACGAGGGGATTGTGTTAAGCTAGCATTGAAGGCACTTGCTGAATGCCAAGAACACCGATCGTTATCCTTGGAGCAACAAATCGCGTCCTCCAAACACCAATCTGCCCAATTTGCTATCCTGGAGCGTCAAATCGCTGCGTTGCAACACCAGCTCACTGTCCTGGAGTGCCGTGTCATCACCGGCCAATCTTCCACCCACTGACATCGACGAGTGTGGCTCGCTAGGGACCTTGCTGGCCAAGGATTAACTTTATCCATTTTTTTTGTCTTTTTTTTCATCTCTTCGCTCCTCCTTTCCTCCTTTTCTTTTTCTTGTGTAAACCGTTTTTTTGTTTTATCAGCTTCCTCTTTTCACTTTTTTTCGTCTCTTTGCTCCCCCTTTTACTCTATTCTTGTGTACATTCATTTTTTCTTTTATTTTTTGCCCTCTTCATTTTTTTTCGTCTCTTCACGCCCCCAGCTAATTGCTTCTCCTTGTGTCCATTCAATTTCTTCGTTTTATTTCCCGTTTTTTTTTTTTTTTTCTTATTCTGTTGCCTTCCATTCATTTAAATCCTTATTTCTCATAATCAATCACACTCCTTTATAATCCAATTGTTTCCCAATGAGGTGCGGAAGCGTGCAGAGCTTGTTGGAGATATGTACCCTATCCGACAGTGCATTGAATATTCAGGCGCACCGGTCAGATGTATTTATGTAAACACGTAGCGCATCTCCTAGGACAAAGCTCTCAAGAACCACGAAACCAGTGATACCACAAACCGTTCATACAAAGCCCGTTGGAATCTGTGAGCTCGGTCCCAAATTCCTTGGAGATGGGACAAGCAACCGAAACAGCCAAGCGAGCTGTCGTCAACCCCAGGACGACCGAATTTGAATGTAAGTATTTCAGAGATTGAGTCTCCTAAAGATTTGCCAAGATGCGATCTCGGCTGATCAACAGTTATCATGCATTCTTAACATCCTCGAAGTCGGTGGTCGGATCGGAGCGATCGGCGTGACTTTATCGGTCCCGTTCTTCACCTATTGGCTGAATCTGGCCTGTACTGCTCAAACTGGATGTTTGCTGGGTCCCCAAATCCTGGACCTTCGGACTCTATGGAACACGACCAACTTCTTCAGTCTCGAGGCTTGCTACGTCTATCTTGGATGGTATATGTACCTTGTACTCTGCTGGCTAGTACTCCCTGGAAAATCGGTTGATGGTACTGTCTTGAGAGATGGCACACGATTATCTTATAAAATTAATGGTCAGTCCCCCTTAAGAAGGAAAACCTGGACATGAAGAGAAAGAAAAAAATTCACGCAAGAAAAACATGCAGCACTGAGGAGGGGGGAAGAAGGGACCGAAAACAACCAGGATCAAGTGGATCCACAATCTATACCAAATCTTTGTTTAGTTCTCTCTTTGAAGAAAAAAAAAAAAAGAGTTTTTAAGAAAAACAGGGGTTTGTTTGTTTTGGTTGATTGGATTCGACACCAAAGCCAACCGTGAAACCTCAAGAAGTAATCAAACACCAAAAACAAAAAGAACAAAAGGGTTGTCATTGAAGGATATGTCACAGCTTCAGATTATGAGCGGCGAGTTGAGCAGGTACTCGACGATCGGGGAGGGTCTGGGGAGTATAGACCAGCGGGGGTTTGGGCAACCGGGTATTGGGAGCGGACTCGGCAACAGCAGCGGTGGGGTTTTGGGTTCCAGATGCAGCAGCAGCAGGAGCAACTGATGATGCCGAGGATTTGGGCTTAGAATCGGAGGGCGACGATTGTTTGTGGGAGTTCAGTGCGGATTGATGCTGTGATTTCAGGTGTCCTGTTGCCGTAGAAGCTTACTCACAAAACGAAAAGAAAAGGAACAAGTTAGCATGCGAATGGGAGACCATGAAGAGCTGGATATCCTGATGACTGGAATGGCTGGTCTTCAGATTTACCAGCGCGAGCGAGCTCAGTTTTGGAAGCTGATGTCGGATTCGAAGGGTTTTGAGAAGGAAGGTTGGGCGCCGTTTGGTGTGTGAGAGCTGCAGCCCCCCTGTCCATGATGGGAGGCGCATAGCCATGAGGCTCTCTATAGAGAGATGCGGGATCGGCGAAGTTGCGTGGATTGTATTGCGCAAAGTTACCGCCGTAGGATGGCGAGGTGAACGATACACTGCGCTTCAAGGGGTGTGGTGTTGATGGGGAAAGGCTCTGGAAGCCCTGAACCGGATAGACGCGGTTGTGGAAGCTTGTCGGAGTTTGTCCAGCGAAGGTCTCGTAGAGGTTTCGGTTGAGCTGATGGCCGGCTCTTGCTGGCTCAGGAACTCTAGTGGTGCGTTGGATGTATGGCGGATGATGGCCATGGATGGGATGATAGGCTTGTGGGAATGTTCGAGGAGACTGCAGGACGATGGCCGATGATTGTCTGATGGTGTTGATCAGATTGGTGCGATCATACTCGGCACGAAAATATCGATTGAGGATCTCTTGATTCCGTTTCTGGATTTCTTGAGCCTCTTTGGCTTTCGGATCCGTCGTCGTCTCCTTGCTAGACGGCTTAGGCACAGCCGGACGATCGTCGACCCAGGCGATCAGGCTGCGACCCAGTCCCAACCCACCATCTCTCCACACCGGAAACCTCGACTTGAGCTGTCCGGTTAGTGGATAATGAGCTTGAAAGGTTCCCCTGCAAAAGGCGGTAGAGCGTATGGAGAACAGGCCGCTCTGGCCTAACAAAATCCTATAGTACCCATACCTTGAGTTGAATGGCACTCCAAATAATCGATACGCCCACCAGCTGCCTGTACCGATCCCGATCCGTGACCGGTCAATGTCCGACAATCTGGTCCAATAATCTCGCTTGTCTTCGGAGTTCTCCCAACTGAGTCGTTGGTCCCAACGCCGCAACCGTTCTTTGTCGGTCAGTAGTTCATCTAGACGAAGCGCCATTTCGAACAAGTACAAATCTGATACAATCGGTCCTCACACAAAAATTAGTACCGGACTCAAGTAAATCACCTCTCGGCGATAAGCAACGAAAAAAAAAAAAAAAAAAGAACACATACACACCGTCAATGTTAAACGCATCATGATATCCAATTTTGGTTTTATCAATTTGATAATCGGCGAGGCTGGGCAAAGGCCCATAGCCAAAGTCGACATTAATCTTATTAGTGAAAGGATCGAGTTTGAGAATGGAATCGGTCTTTGTCCTAAGTAGCCGGTCCAATTCTTTCTCATCTGCTGATTCATAAACCAGGGCGATAGGTTCGTAGAAATCCTCATCATTCAGGATAGGTTCCTGTTGCGGGTCCGGCTTGGTCTTTGGAGGGGCTGGAAAATAAGGGGATGCAAGATATTGTGGAGAAAGAGGGAAATTGCGTTGGTATGGACTATGATAGGAAGGATAGGGTGAATTAGGGATGATGGCTGGATAAGCAGGTTGGACATGAGGGTGATAATACAGGGGGGAATACAAGTAAGAATGGTTCATGCTTGGGTGACTGGTCTGTTCTGTTGTGCCTCTGGGCAACAGCGGATCTTGATAGGTCTGACGACTTGCGTCAGTCGTGCGCAAGCAGTCAATGTTAGGCAGTCGAGGTTGGGCTCGGTGATAGTCTGAAGAAGGATATAAATCTTGAGGACCTAATCCGGGCAACTTGCTTGATTCAACAGGATGATGGGACAAGACTTCTTCGGAGGCTGGAGCAAAGATCTTCAAATTCTTGGGGTTTTTATTATATTCAGACTGTTGGGACCTGAGGTGGAAAAGAAAGAAAAATCCGAAGAGGGAAGAGTGGTTATTCACAGCCAGGTAGGTCAGCTGATATATATACTTCTTGATACAGCGGACATGAGCTGAGGAGCGGATGAGATAAAGCCTATGGTGGCTGGGAAGCCGAAGGCCTGAGTTGAAAGCCAAACAAACAGGAGGCCAAACTCACCGTTGCGCCAATTGTGGCGGTTGGATCGGATGCATAGGGTTATTAGCTATCTGTTGCTCAACCGGCCAAGGAATGTTATAGCCAGGAGCAAGGCCTGGATGGACTGAGCCAAGGTAAGTGGTAGGTTGAGAGACTTGGTCAGGAGAATGCCTTAACAGCTCCGGAAGATTGCTGGGAATTTGCGGGGCATGAATTCCGCGATTCGGTGGATGCTCTTGTTCGCCTTGTTTATTTTTTTTGAAGAAACAAAAAAAAAGAAATAGTTGCGGGTCGATCGTCACACAAAACAGCCAACAAAGAAAGTCAAGGATACAAGAAGATAAACATCAGCTTTATTATTAATATTGTTGGGGTACAAATACATGAACGTGTGTGTGTGTTTTCTTTTATGAATGATACTTCAAAACACCATCCTGCTTACATTGTTGTTTGGTTTCAGATGACCCTGAACGATGAAGATAAGGAAAGGTGTCGAGCGTGTTTGGTCGAGCAGGTCTATGATCAACAGTTGATGTACGAGTATTGGGCCACAACAACAAGTGCTCGGCAAAACGTAGACTCGAGTCTGCAGCGCGCGGAGCACCAAGATTGGTAATGTACAACCGCAGGGATAATTGAAACCGTCGGGACTCGGGATGGTTTGTGGAACAAGGGCTGAGTGAGACTGCCAAACATACCCGGGACGGTTGGATGATAGTCATCATACAAAGAGCCGTTTTGCCGTCTGTGAGAACAGGTCGGGAGAAGGAACGAGTGATCAGCTGATTGGTTATCAATGGACACAACTGCAGAGAAGTCGACTGACGCGCTTCCTTGTTGACCAAAAATCTCGGAGTGTTCGCCACATTCCACTACAAGACCATGAGTTTCGGGTGCAGACGACACTTGAGGAGTTCTAGCCATTTATTGCACAAATGGCGCGATCGATTTCTCGTTGATCACCAGGATTGGTTGGTTTCCTGATGCCAATCAAGCTAGCTGTAAAAATTGACAGTGATTGGATTCGGAGTCTCCCCTGTTTTTTTTTTTTTTGGAATTTGACCGACAGATTCTAACTACGTTGGTGGCGGTGTCGGTGTTGTTTCCACTATAACCGAATGACCGATAGATAAACAAATAGGGAAGCGGACTCGATTAGTACTGTGTCCAGTGATAGATACATACATGGTGATCAAGGGTGGAAATGAGCCAACAATCCAGAGAACGGAGGAACTGATATGTACAACAGAGTAGATTGTTTACTTACAAAATGATCGGACATCGGTCAGCGAAGATGTAAACTCCACTGGCCCGGAAGCAGGAAGAACCTGTTGACCTTGGCGGTGGCCTCTGTCGGACTTGAGCCTCAACTCTGTCATACAGCCACATGGCAAACGAATAGCCTACAGGGAAATCCTGGCTTGACTCTGGTTCATGATGGGCTTAACTTCTGTATCCCTACACATTCTGGGTGAATCCGAGTCCTTCTCCCTCTAGACATCTCTTCATGACGTCTATTATTTAGTTCGTGGTGATCACTCGAGTACTGCACACCAGATGTTTGGATGATTAGCTAGTTTGTGCTTTCTTACACCAATAAGGAGTAGTCAAAACAATTATAAGGCTCCAAGATATTGTTCCAGACACGAGCCATGGTGAAGGATTGATGAAGGATTCTCAACAAGTTTGGAAAGACGAAAGGTCTGGCCACTTGAGAGATCGGGGTGGTGATCCACAACTCCCTCCTGGGCTCTCCTGGGCTCTCCTGGGTGTGCAAAGTGCCGGCCTCGGAAGCAAACAGAAGCGTCTCAAGACCCATGGAAATCCGGAGTGCAGGATTGAGACTGAGCTTGTGTACAAGTCTGCTGTGACGGCTGGTCCTTCTCTTCCTTGAGCAGCTGAAGCAGCTTACAGATATAAAAGGAAGGAGTCATATTCCATCAAGAGGCTGCTGGTTCAGATTGTGGTTTGTCAGTAGTCGATGTCGATCGTCAAGCAAGTGTGTGGTGTGACAGGCCATTAAGGTTGCGGGGTAAAGAAGATGGTCTTTTGAATTCTGATTCTGATCCGACTCTCTCTCTCTCTCTCACTCCCTCCTCGGCCCCCTGCATCCTTTTTTTTCTAGTCTTCAGCACTTGGTGGCAGCCAGCTGGATCCTCAAGCCAGGTATTATTGACCATGTCCCATCAGCAGCATCCTCCTCAGTCGGATTCCTCATCCCAGGATACTCTCAAGCCAACAGCTCATGACCAATCGTCCCCACCCTTATCAGCACGATCGCGATCTTGTTTTAACAGTCGACTCCCGATCCAGACCAAGTAAGCCACTCCGATCCCCACATAAGCCGGCTCTCCTCCTCCATCCTCCATCCTTCATACCTTATCTCAGCCAAGCTCCCTCTCATCATCATCCAGTTCTCTTTTCTTTTCTTTTCTTTTCGTTTCTTTTCTTTTCTTTTCTTTTCTTTTGTTTTCTTTTGTTTTCTTTTCTTTTCCTTTTTATTTCTTCAAAATGTCTAATCCACCACCACTGACCATCTATCTCCCCCTCATCAGTACTCCCTCCCACTCTCCCTCTGCTCCAGTCTCCCCTTGCCCTTCCATAGCCTCAACCACCTTCTTCCCAACTCAACAGCAACAGCAACAGCAACAGCAGCAGCATCAGCATCAGCATCAGCATCAGCAACAGCATCAGCATTCAGACTCACCAATATCAGCCAGCCTCCACTTCAACTGCTCAAACCCTTTTCCTCAACCCCAGAACCACTTCCGACCATTTCCTGTCCGTCCTACCGTCTCACCCATCCAGTCACCACACTCGACCCGTCCTGCACTCGCCAACCTCAATCGCCACACACCCCCGCCAGCCTCCCCTCACCTACTCCAGCCGGCACCCATCCAGGCCACCTCACTGCCTCCCGATCATCCCCACCACTTCAGCCCCACCCCCAACGTTTATCATCACTCAAACTCAAACTCACCCTCCTCCCCTCAACCCTCCAAACCTCACTCCTGCCATCTCCAACCCGCCCTCGAATCCTATCTCGCAAACTCTCCCCAGCTCGTCTTTATCATACCTGCCCATCCAATCTACAAGGCTCTCTGTAGGCGTCGTCAGGTCGGCCTCCCCGAAGACCCAGACGAGCATGCCCAGTTCCCGATCTACGATGGCGGCACCGTCAACATGGCTACCCCTACCTCTACTCAGAAAATCGTCTTCCCTCATCTCTCCCCCCTCGAGGCCGACTCTGGTTGCGACTATAACCTCTCCGAACTCCTCTCACCGGTCTACGTCAACCCTGCTGCCGAACAACTCGCTCATCAGATCCTAGAGAGAACCAAACAGTCCATCCACTCATCAGATTCACCCAAGAACTGGTACTGGGACATCATGAAACTACTCCATCATCACGACCTATCCAGGTGGCTGGACTGGCTACGTGGGATCCTCAACCAGAACCAGCAACTCCTTCGGTCGAGCTTCAAAACTACCCTCAAGACATCATCCCACTTCAGAGCTCCCATCTCCCCCGGTCAACGTCGCAAGAGGCTCAATCGTGACCCTCAATCCTCTGATCTGCCCAACGAATCTTCTCCCACACTTAACTCAGTCTCCACTCCCGCACCAGAAATCATCATGACCGCCCAACTCATTAACACCGACCCTCTTGCTGCTATTGATCCTTCAGCCGCCACCTCTGATCAAACAATTACCAGTCACCACAAAATCCTCTTCTCTGCTATCGTTCTGCGTCATCCATCCCTACCCATCCACCCTGGCCATGTCAGAGAAACAGCTGGCCGGAATCTCCAAACCGCCGATCAGCATTCTTCTATCCTCACAAGCCCTGCTCAGGATGATCAATCAAATCCTGATCTGCTCAATAATAGCACTTCTCCCTCTAAACCTCCATCCTTAGAAGCCATCCGACCCAAACGAATCAAGACATCAGCAGCTGATAGCTCTTTTCATCCTACCATTGCAAATCGTCAGGAATTTGGCTCCCCTCTCACCAACACTCTCAACCAAAACTCCATGGGCCAGGAGAACTATCTGAGTACTCATGCTCAACCCAGTCAAATTCCACCCAAAGTTACCTGGTTAGACGAAAACAATGCCAAGCGTCTGTTTCTGAAATCTAGTCGCCGTCCATCTAGGCCAAACGCCGCACGCGGCTTCACCGTTGGCACTTCAACTCTCTCCGTCCCCGCTTATTCTCGTCGAGTAAGCGTCCCCAGTCGCAGTGGATTATCACATGAATCACATGATGAAGAGAACGCTCAAGCAGTCACGACTAGCGAGCCAAACCATAGCCCCACCAACTTGGATAAGATGGTCCTAGATGATCCCTGGTTTCGGGAATTATCAGATTCTAACCTGGACACTGGCTCATTAACTCAAAGCACCATTCCAGTCACACAAAGCTTACTGACTGCTGCCGCTTGTCGAACTGATAACGAGAATTTTGATGAGCTGATGAGTTCGAAAGAAGAGCCCTCTCGCCCATCTTTTGTCGGCCAAAGTTCCCTGCTCACCCACCAGAATGAGCTCAAGGGTGATCTATCGTCGATCCAGGAGGAATATACCGATCAAGATTGGATGGGCGATGTGGACTCTGAAGCGCTGAACAGTCAATCCAAATCAGCCATCTCCTCGGGATGCTCGAGTCGATCCCAATCTTATTCTTCCAACTCCTCCCTTAGCACCTGTCATCCTCGAGAGACTGGCGATAGTCTTTTTCGACAAGCGTTGATGGCCTCTTCCACCGGACAGCTAATACTCGAGCTGGATTGGCAAAATACTCCCATCGGACCCATTGAAACTTGGAGCCCTACTCTCAGATCAATGGTCACCCTTATCTTGGCATCTCCGTATAGAATGAGGTGCGTGATCCTTACTGTATGAGTCTTTCATTTAGTCGGCTCTTACCACCTTGACTGACATTCTGCTTTCGTCAATCTCACTAGTCTGCTGTGGGGAGATGAATGTGTAATGCTTTACAATGGTAAATTTATTGAATGCAGGCACTAGCCTCCGTTGGGCGGTGTAGTACCATGCTTTTTTATTTTATTTCATTTTTTTTTCCTCTTTTTTTTTATCTTGCATTTTTCCAGTCAGAATGCTTTCGTCACCGAGCCTGCCCTCAGATGATGAAAAATTTCCTACGCGAGCCTAGCCACATGACAACCGTTTGTTCCTTGTCAAGTATACTTACGCTGATCTATTTGGTTGATATCTATTTGGGGAAACAGATGCTTACGTCAGGACGTGTGGTCTCAAACATCCAAGCCTATTAGGCCAGAGCGGTGCACATGGATGGGCTGAGTAAGTTGGCGCGATCCACCTTTCGAGAAGAGCCAGTGGCTACCACTTGTTCTGTGCTACAGTCTCTTGATTTCTACCAGGGATTTTTAAATGTCTTGAGTTGCCTTTTTTTAGGCTTTGGGCCGACTTGGGAGACATTGCAGATTCTGTCCTCCAGGGCGATGTGTATACGGTCTATGACAGTCTCTTGTTCTTCGATCGAGATCCCGATAATCCGAACGGCATCAGGAAGGAGGAATCTTATCATTCTTTCAGGTGAGTTTGCTCCTTCCAATATCCTATTCCAAAGCTTTGGAGTAATTTGCGACATGCTTGATAGTACTGATATCCGTCTCATGAATGGCTCAACCCTATTAGTTGGATTCCTGTTCGTGGGCCTACTGGCGAGGTTGAAGGCATTTTGAATCCATCTTTTGAGTTGGGTTTGGATTGTGAAAACTACTTATACCTATCCAACTAGTTTTCGTTATTTATTTCACTCGATCTTCTCTCTCCACTTTTCTGTGTAGGACCACCCTGAGGGTCATCGCAGAGCGCCGTCTCGGTAGTTTACGCGACTTGGTCCAGATAACGCTGATGTCAAGAACTCGAATTTCTTATCAGGAGAGATGTTTGGAAAGCTTGGCTAAAAACCCTTATGATTTACCCTTTGTGATTGTAAGTCGCTACAAGTTGATCAATCGACCGGTGCTATGGAATGGCCTCTAATGGGCTTCTATCAACCTCACAATCGCTACCTAAAAAAATATGTTGCAGATGTACTCCTGCGAAAGCAAGAAAAACGGTCGGAAAGGTCCGGCATCAGCTGACGAAAGTGTATCGGAGGCTTCGGGTTGTTGGATTAATTTACAACTGAGACTGGCCGGAACGGTTGGCGTTCCTAAGGGACACCCATCGGCTGCTGAGCAAATCCAGTTCAACATTCAAATCCATGGTTCCAGCTCTCAATGTGGAGGGAGTGCTCATAGCTCGTCGACCCCAGGGCATTCCGCCGACAACAAGTCCAGCTCCCCCTCGTCGGTCGGATCCCAGATAACTATGCATACCGAAGTTACGGACGATGACAATGTGGTTTGGCCTCTACGAGAAGCTTGCACCTTCCGCAAGCCGATCTACATAGCTCAGTTGGGAGATCGCGCAAAAGGATTTGAGACCCGAGGATGGCCTGATCAAACACGGTCGGCTGTGTAAGTATAAGAAACTATGCCCCCCCCCCCCCTCCTGCCCTTTCAAATCGAGATCGCCCAGCCCAAATATTCAGTGGAGATGGGCTTAACCTGATGGCTGACATAAATCGAATCTCCGAACAGAGTGATGCCAGTGAGTACTAGCGAGGATTCAGCACCCTTGGGGGTCATCGTCTTCGGCCTCTCTCCTCGGTTGAACTGGACCGAAGCATACGCACTCTTTCTGAACCTGTTGACTCGACAATTCTCGACTGGCTTGTCGACCGTCATTGGCCATGAGGAGGAGGTGCGACGCTCCCTTCTTTGATTTGCTCTTCACACCCTTCTCCAGAAATACCTTTGTAACAATTTTTTCTTCTCTTTAGGCTCAACGCTTGGAGGACTTGGCTGCATTGGATCGGGCAAAGACTACATTCTTTACGAATATCTCTCGTCAGTTTTCACTCATCTTATGAAGAACTTCTGCTTGGCCTGGTGGTCTGACAATTTCTCCACCCCCCCCTCTTTTTTTTTAGATGAGTTACGAACGCCGTTGACCTTGATCGTTGGACCGATATCAATGATTCTAGAATCTTCTGATATCAGTCCCGCTGCTCGAGAGCGATTGAAAGTCGTCGAGGTAATTTTCCAATGTAGATTGATTGATCCTTGTGTCTTTGTCCTGCAATCAAGTTCCACTTTCTATAGCTTTTCGCCGCTACTAACTATTATGTGCATCAGATGATTCAGCCTCTCTTTGCCTCGTTTGCTTTCCTGCCGTTCCGGTTTTGATTGCACATAGAGACTTGAACTTTGGTTCTGACCTACTCATTTTTTTGCACCACTTAACATTTCTTCGATGTTCCTAATCGTGTCCAGTCACTGACTGATTCTGATGATGACCGAACAGCGCAACACCCAGCGGTTAATCAATCTGGTCAATCAGCTCTTGGATCTTTCCCGCTTCGAAGCTGGAAAAATGGTCGCTCGATTTAGAGGAACGGATGTTTCAAAGATGACGGCCAATTTGGCCGCGTTATTCAGGAGTGCTATGCATAAAGTCAGTCCTTTTTTCACAACTACTCCTTGGATCGGGATGATCTTTAAACTTGAATCGGACTTTAGAATCAACTCAACTTCATTGTCGACTGTCCCGATACTACTCGGCGCGTCTGGGTCGATCACGACTTCTTTGAGAAAGGTGAGCCAAGCTCATCTGATGCTTGTCGAAGCCTGCTTTCAAGAAAATGTTGAGATTTTGATTTGGGCTGGTAGTCGTATTCAACATTCTTTCCAACAGCATGAGTACGCATATGTTTTGTTTACTCCTAAATTTCTAGCCAGAAAAACGAGGCTTCATACATCTTTACTTTTGCTGTCTCACTAGAATTTACTCCCAAAGGTGGCCAAGTCAAGTTGGAAGTGCGATATGATTCCAACAATTGTTATTTGATTTGCTCTGATAGTGGAAGGGGCATCAAGCCGGAAGAGCTACCGAGGATATTCGAGAGGTTAGTCAGTCGACTGTTTCATTCGTCTTGGCTTTCATGAGGTTACTAAATAAACATCACCAACATTACTTACTAGATTCCATCGAGCTGAAGAATCTCAAGGGGCTGAGGGTACTGGGATCGGTTTGGCTTTGGTCCAAGGTTTGTAGCGTATCACTCTGCCCTGACCTCTCAAACTTTGAAAGCTCAACTGAACCCTATCTCGATCAGACATCATTAAATTACACTGCGGTATGCTGGATGTCGAGAGTCACGTTGGCCGGGGATCCAAATTTACGATCACTTTTCGTCTTGGGACGGCTCATCTTCCCCCCGACTCTCTCGATCTTTCGACCGAGAGCGAAATCGATGAATTTAATGATCGGGTGATCGCCTCCAATGCCAGACGTTGGATCTTGGGAGAGGCAGAACCCATTCGAACCCTACTGCTCGACTTGTCTCCCAGTAACTCGGAAACCTCTTCATCACGTGGCTCCGCTGAGCTACCTCTGGCTACTATCAATGAGGGCGTCCTCTCCACGGCGGGTTCGACGGTTCTGATCGCCGATGATAATTCGGATATGCGTGCATTCCTGAAAAGTGTCTTGAGCCGTTATTATAACGTTGTAGAAGCCGTAGATGGCCAACAAGCTTACCAATTAGCCAAGCTCAATCGACCTGACATCTTGGTTTCAGATGTGATGATGCCCGGGATGGATGGATTTGAACTTCTCCGGCGGTTGAAGGCTGATAGCGATACAGCAGGGATGTCAGTCATCTTACTCTCGGCGCGAGCTGGGTCTGAAAGTCGAATCGAAGGTCTTGCAGAAGGTGCGGACGATTATCTGGTGAAACCATTTGAAGCTAAGGAACTAGTGGCTCGAGTGAACACTCATCTTCAGATTGCAAAGATGCGTCAAAGACTGGAGGGGGCTGTCGCCACTCGTACCCAACTACTGAGAGAAAACGAACAGAAGTATCGGGACTTGTATCATACATTTGAAGTGATCTCTATGCTCAGTCCAGTCGGCATCTTCCAATTGAGTCCGAACGGTCAGATCACCTTCGCCAACAACGCCTTTCACTCTCAGTGCAAATTGACTCAAGGTGAACCGTTGAGCCTGTGGATGAACTGTATCCATTCACTAGATAGAAAGCAGATCGAGGAAACGTTTGAGCTATCGATTCGATCACGACAGCCGATCAAAGGGGAATTCAGATGGAGAGACGGGTCCTGGTGCTTTTATGAACTGACGCCTTACTATAAAGAAGACGATGGGTTTGAAGGATATCTTGGCTCAACCACCGACGTGACAGAGCGGAAGGAGTCTGAACAAAAGCAACTTGAAGCTGCCGAGGCTCGTGCTCGAGATGCTGAGGAAAGCAAGCGTCAACAAGAAGCGTTCATTGATATGGTAAGAGCCAATCACAACCCCCTGCTCTCTTTTTTTTCCTGCAAGAATCTTCAAATCTAATGCTTCCCTCATCTGATCTCACCAAACCCCGTCATACCGCTAATTTTTTAGACGTCCCATGAGATTCGCAATCCGTTACATGGAATCCATCAAGCGGCTGAACTTCTCTACTCCTCCTTGAAACTCTTACATGGAGTAGTCGAAAACAGCCATCAGATCAGTGGCCCCGATCTGGTGCAATTCCGGAATGAAATCCGAGAAGATATCGATGCGATCGAAAGCATTCAACTATGTGCTTCTCATCAGTGCGTATTCTTGACCCATCACTTTTCTTACACCTGATTAATTCAAGTGAGACCCGCTAATACCTCTTCTTTTCACATTTTTCTTGGCTTTTGGTAGGTCGAGGATAGCAGACGATATTATCAATGTACGTTTGATTCACTAGCATGCTTGTTTTTCATTGGTAGCACAGTGGTTCTAGAATCTGAACGGAAGTCATCTTCGGACACAGGTTTCTAAACTCAGTATGGGTCTACTGACAACTATCAAGACTGATTTCGATTTGGTGGGTAGGGTGCGTGAGGTGCTTTCGATGTATCTTATTGAGGGTCAGTCCTCTTCTCTTTATGATTACCCACCACTGCTGGTTGGAAGAAGAAGAAGAAAAAAAATCTAACCCCGATGCTATTTTGTTTGTTCGATGGACTAGCTCAGCAGAAATCGGTTGATCTGAAGCTTCAGATCGGCGAGGGCTTAGAGATCACCCATTACATTTGTGCCGATCCAAACAGACTGGCACAAGTGATCATTAACTTTCTTTCAAATGCCTTGCGATATACCTCGAATAGCGAAGGCCCCAGGAGTGTGACGGTCAGAGTTGACGTGTTCACGAAATGTCCCGAGCCTCGGCCGCACGTTCGAAGGATAGGCTCTTTAAGAGCTGAGGTCGATGCAGTAGCCCCAGAAGACTTGGTGTATGCGAAAGTCAGTGTCCAGGACACTGCAAGAGGCTTATCACCGGAAGAGCTATCCAAGCTGTTTTCTCGATTCGTTCAAGCCAATCCTACTCAGGATCAATATGGCGGCAGCGGCTTGGGATTGTACGTCTCCCATCGATTGATCGAAAACCATGGGGGCTTCATAGAGGTGATGTCGACGAAAGGACAAGGTTCGGTCTTCTCGTTTGTGATTCCGACGAAACGGAGCGTCAGACCACCGATCACGAGCAGTACGAGTTACAGCCATGGTGGGAAGCGTGGCTTTACCCGAGCGATCAATGAGGAGGAGGTGGTCGAGATGCAGCCCGCCTCGGCGCTCTTGCCAGGCGGGGCAATCGCAGCCGGAGGCGGGATCAATAGTCGGCTACCAAGCCCGGATATCCATTCTAGTCCGGTCGCCGAGTGTGCTCTGCCAGGCCCAGAGAACATCACTTCCCCACTGGTCAGCGCTGAGAAACCGATGCTGAGAGAATGCACGAGTTCCGATTCGTTCGCCGCGCTTCAGCCACGCGAACCTGGCTCACAGCAGACCCATGTCTTAGTGGTCAGTCTAGAATGCTTAATCGGCATTATGACTTTCCTTCTGAGGAATTACGTTGAAGGTAATTGCTGAGAGATCTATTCTCAATCGGTTCGCACTTCTTTAGGTCGAGGACAACACCATCAATGTCAAGGTAATCAAGCGCCAGCTCACCCTCAAAGGCTACATGGTCTCTGTCGCCATGGATGGTAGAGAGGCGCTCAACAGATTGTATGCCGACGCGTCAGAGACCTCCGAATTGCCGCCGATCGACATCGTCTTGATGGACATCCAAATGCCTGGTCCGTTTCTTCTTCTTCTTCTTCCTCCATTCATCGCTCCCGTTTCTTCTTCTTCTTCTTCCTCCATTCATCGCTCTCCCTCTTACCCTATAGTTTCCGGTTTTGCAAATCTTTCTTCCTCTCTTGTCTCGCATCTTTCTCGTCTTGATCATCGACATTAACCCTCTCATCACACTCTTTTTTTTGTTTGGTTCGAATGATCTGCGGGGGTTTTTTTTTTCTTGTAGTTATGAATGGGTTGGAGGCTATCACTCATTTGAGAGCGGCAGAAAAGACCGGCGAAATCAAGAAACGATATCCGGTGATCGCTGTGGTAAGAGTACCATTCTTCTTTCTATTCTTTTGAATGATTTATTGACAGTCAGTCTGATGTGTCTAACGTGTTTATGATGGTGGGTCGGGGGTTTCTAGACTGGGAATGCCCGGAAGGAACAGACGGAACAGTGTCTGGCTAGTGGGTTCGATAGTGTCAGTCCTTTCCTTCTGTTGTTTTCATCTGGGGAGGAGAAAAGAGTCGAGGATTCTGATAGATCTGGGATCTCGTGTTTGTAGATCTGCGTCAAGCCTTATAAGATCGATGACGTCCAGAGTCGGATGGAAGCTTTGCTTGCTAACTTGGAACTTAATGATACTTAATCCTTCTTCTTTTTTTGCCGGCTTGCTCTCTTTTTTATCATATTGTGTGTCACTTCTTTCCTTATCTCGTAAAAAAAAACAAGGACTAACATTTTTTTTTTCAATTTGTCAATCTAGGTATCATAATCATGTCGATTTCTTTTCCTTTTTTTTCAAATTCTTCTGATTTGTTTTGATATTTGGTTTGGTTTGGTTTGATTTGGTTATATTGTAGAGCAGGATAGAAAAAAAAAATATATAGACATCTTTTGACTGGTCAAAAAAAAACACTTTGTACAACAACTTGAAATAATTAACACTTTCCAAATTCTCATCATCTTCATCATCATCATCAAAAGTTATTCATAAAAAAAATGAGACAAAAAAAGAGGATATGTTTTTTTGATTGGGGGGTTGTTTGGTTGAGTGAGGAATGCAGGTGAATGATAGTAGATGTAGTTTGTCTCATTCTTGGTGCTTGTTTTGTAGATGCTGATTGTAGTTTTATTTTTCAAGTGTGTGTGTGTGTGTAGGATGTATGTTTAGTAATGATGTGTATGTAAAACTATGTATGAACAAGTGTATGCATGAGAGAATACTATTGTATGCTGAATTCCTTTCTTCTTCTTCTTTATATGTATGTGTGTGTTTTTTGTATGTACATTGCATATATTGCCAACAAAAATAAATGAAAAAAACTATGTAATTGTTGTATGGCTTTTACGTGTGGTTGAGTCCAGCACAACACTAAACCAATCTTTTGATTCATGTGGTTTGAAGACTGTTTGGATCTGATTTGAGATGGATATGTATCACCTGATCTAAGCATGATGGAAGGTGGTATTGTCCATGTGCACAGATAAGTCAGAAGCAGTTGAGTTTTTCATTATTCCGGCCTAGTCCAGGAATATGAAGGTCCAAACATAAAACTTGAAATGTAAGAAGATGATTTAACTTCAGATCCGCAACAACACAAATCCATCTTTCCGTCATCTTATCACTCAACTCTTCAGACTCCACTTTCAATCTTACATCTTTAAAGAAATATTAAATCACCGTGATTTTTCTTTGTCCTCCCACCCACCCTTCTAATTGAAGAAATGCCTACTCTTGGTAGAGTTGCAGGCTTTTTGGGCTTTTTCCGCTCTAAACCTTTCTCCTTCATAAAATATAAATGATTTGAACATTTATGTTGAAACATTTCTGTGAAAAATTAAAACAAACTAGTATCTTCCTTTGGTCCATAGGATTCAAAATCAACTTGGTAATTGTTTAACCTAGAAATTAAACAATTAAGATTTTATCCTATTAACCACCCAAACTTGGATAGCTGGAGGACTCAAATCCACAGCTAACCTAGGGGATATGCTTTGGCGTATCCCTGACCAGAGTACCTTAGGTAAGATTGTAGTGCAAAATGGACTGGTTGCCTCTATATATATGGTGTATCAAGCCCATCTGGGCACACACCAAAGTGTGGCCAAAAAAGGGCCAAGCGTGTTGGGCTGATGCCAAAGCCCGCTTGGCTGATCCCAAAGTGTGCATGGCACCCTCCCAACCCCCGCTTGGCACATGCCAAAGTTGGTGGGGGTCAGGACAAAGCCTTGCTTGGCTGAGCCCAAGCAAGGGTGTCACGCCTGCCAGCATGCCAGCCAACAAGAAGGAATCCCTTCCTGATGGCCAGCTCACTAGAAGTTCCCTCACTCTTATAGGTTTAAAGGTGTTTGTACCGGTTATTGAGAGAGAGTTGTATGAGCCCTCTAAATGTCAGCTTGCTACTATAGCAGAGACAACCTGTCATAGTACACAAACACTGTAGAAAATACAAAAAGATATTATTATAAATAGTGCTGGAAATAAATGAGAATATCAAATAATAAGAGCATTATTTCTCAATATTCTTAATCTATATGAAGTATAACCTAGGGTACCTCACTCAAAGGTACCCTATATTTCAACTACTTCATGCAGCAAATCTACATTAAAGATATAGAGTGTACCTCCCAGAAGGAAATGAAATATGCTTATGTTTATAATCAAATATGCTAATAAACAGGTTTAAGACTTGAAACTGATTTGGTGTTTCAAACATACATTTGTATATTGATAACACGTGTGTGGCACATTTCCAAGGAAATAGCCAGATGTTTCAGATTTCATCTTCCACAAAACACCTGTGGCACATTTCTAAGGATATGGTCACATGTTTCAGCCTCCATGCATGAACCGCCCACAAGTTGACCCTGATCTCCCAGATGCCTCCACGGGTATATAAAGAGCCCTCTTTCCCCCCAAAATCAGATTCATCAGATTATTACAACCCACTTTAGATTACCCACCATCCCAAATGCTTAACATTTGTATCTGTCTGGTAATGTATTGCCTCTTGCTTTAATTCTCTGTCTATCAGAACCTCAAGACTTAAGGGGCTTTATTAGTACATAATGCCCCCTTCTTTCTTGAGATTCTTACTACTTTCTTCTGGGATTTAAACCACCCCTGTTAAACAGGCCCCAGTGTTAACAGGTACCTAAATCCTCTGCTTTTGCACGATACCTTAGAGGGAACTAAACCACCCCTGATTTATCAGGCCCCTCTGTTTAAATTATATCAATATTTATTGATATAATTATTCATTTCTACTATCTCATAACCTTGTAATTACCACTCATTGTTGGAATTACACACCGGACTCTTTAGTCCCAGAGTTCAAACTCTAACATCTTAAGTTTTTCACCACTTGTAGCTAGAGGATTTACCATCTTGGCATCACGGTGGCTGACACTAAAAGGCTGGTACACACCTGCTGAGTTGGGGGACAATGCCGGGCTTGTGCACACAAGCACCTGAGCCACCAATCGGCCCAGCGGGACTTGGCTATGTGCCAAGTCCTGCTCCCCGCCTATTCTGGCTGATCAAGCCCCCTGGGCACACTCCCATGCCCTGGTGGCACTCGGCCAAGCGGGACTTGTGATTGTCCCCAGACAGGCTTCATACACCATATACATCCCACACATATGCATGTATGAACATATGTAAATAGAAATGATAGTTTTTTTCTTGAGCAGGTGTGCATGCATATGCACATGATACTCATACATAGACATTATTAGTTTTCTTTTTTATTTGAGTTGCTGTTTTTGTATATGTACTAATAGTAGAAACGGATGTCCAGTGAGGATTTGAGTTGTTTTGTGTTGGAGTGTGTGATGATTAAAAGTAAACATGTTGAGATGTATATATTTGATGAATTCTTGAAATCATCTGATCCTGGTATTCTATGCACTGGACATTGGGCAGGATTTATACAGAGGTATTCAAATAAGTTAACTTCCGGTGTGGTAAATCATACTGTGTTTCTACACAGAAAATATAAAAATAATTCTCGTTTCTAAGCAGAAAATATAAAAATTTCTTATTATCTCTTGATTCATTCAAGATATGGTAAAAATGACATCAAACATGGAATCCTCAGGTAAAATAAACCCTAGTCACTCACTACAACCATACCTTTAACTCTTATAGTTTAGAATTTACACGTATTTCAACCTGTCACAGGATGTTTCTTGGATTCTTCACTCTAACCATAGTCATTATGAATGCAGGGTACATATTGAATACTGAATACCTTTGTATTAAATTGAAGACCTTTAATTTATATTGAATCCACTTGTACTAGTGATATTGCATGTATGCATCCCTTTGACCATACATATGTGTAGTAGCATCTTACAGCCTGTACCCTGGGGCCAAAATACCTCACATTTGTCTATACAAGGAGGCCTCTCCCTGCCAGTTGTTCCCTCCATCATCCCACCAGTGGACCAGATCATCTCAACCACCCTTATAAATAGGGGCTTGGTTAATCGACTCGCAAAAGTTGGAGAGCCGACTCCCAAACCCCCCAAACCCCCAAAATTCCCCCATATTCCCAGAGTATTGGGAGTTGATTCCCCAAAACCGTCAGAGGGTTTGGGAGTCAAATCCTGAAAAATTTTAAATAAAAAAAAATGAAAACCCCGGAGGGGGACAGAGTCAATGCCCCAAAACCCAGTGGGTTTTGGGGGTCGGCAAGCCAAAAAGAGCCCCCGATGGCCGGGATGATTCCTCCTGACCGTCGAGGATGTACACCTTCGAAGGCCAAGAGAAACCCTCCTGGCCCCTTCAATGGCCGCCTCACCTCGCCCTCCCGGCCGTTGAGG